GTGGAAAACAACAGCAGCTCAGGTGCAAAACGCCAAAAGCTGCAGTTTGAAGAAGAGCTAGAAAAAATTTGCAAACTGGATGATTCCATTGAACCGGCAATAAAACTGAGTAGCCAATGTGTAGTTAATAAAGAGGTCTCACCAAAAGAAAATTAAAGAAAGAAGAAAACGATGCAAGAAACTCTAGTTGAAATTGCTGCTAGGAAAGAGAAAGCCAGGGAGAAGCGACACAAGGAAAGAATTGAGAAAGCTACAAGAATCGAAAGCCTTATGGAAAAATGTTTGACTGAAAGCAAACCAGCTTAAACCTGTGGGTGTGCGCGATATAGTTATAAAATCAGGTTTGAATTGTATATGCTGCTTATTATCCATAAAGTTATAATATATATTTTTTAGCTCTTGGTTTGCAGGCTTCTGCAAATGGATGTAAAATGATTGCAAGTGCCTTTCGTTTCCGGCCGAACGTTTCGCCAAATAACATTTTCACCGGCGCCCTTCGCTCATTTACAACAACTGCCTTTTCTCCATCACCACATCATGTCATTGACGGCCAAATCCACATCACCTTTATACGGCGTGTTCGGAAACACTGCTCTTGCTAGTGGTTCGGATTTCGGAGCAACTTGAACAGCAACAACGGCACCAACAGAACATTCGGTTTAAGTAAGCAAATTCGAATAATAAGCGATTAAATGCTGAAAAATATACACATCTTTCTTCAGCCCTGACAAACCTGTACTTGTACAAACATTCCCCAAGCCATACAAATATACCCACATTGACGTTGCTGCCAGTGATTTTGTATTGCCAGATGAGCCGACCGTTGCACCAATCGTGGCATTGGCAAAAACACATTTATAGATTTAGGCGTATAACTAGCGTTTGCAATTATACGACAGTTGACGATTTATTTATTTCTTTTTAACTTGAATCCATTTTTATAATAATAGGATTCATTCGATAATAATATTATATATATATATATATATATATATATATATATCACGATTGAAAGAATACAAAACTTGCGCCGATCTCGCTATTCCTCTACATTTTTTCATGTGCTAAAAATCGTGCTTACCTAAAGGGCTACATGTCCGAAGTTATTGCTACGTGTTCCTAATTAATCAATCTTTGTATATTTATTGATTCCTACAAAATTGGGCCATGTAATATTAAAATTAACACATTTTTCTGCATTGTTTACATATTTTTATATGCGCTTTGACATTTCTCTCTCGCAATTGCACCAAGATGACCTCACGCAAAAATTACGCTCATTGGCGCAATCTTGTATTCTATCATTCTTGGGTACTCTCAATCATGATGAAAACATAACAAGGTAAAACCACTGAGAGGCAGTCTGACGTTTGCCAACAATATAATTTTAAAATTCGAACTCAAGCTCACACACACATTCTCATTTTTAATCTCAAAAAAACCACAATTGTGAACAATTTCATTTTTTTATTTTAAATTTTATATGATTTTAAAATGTTTGCAAACGTCAGAAAAAAATTATGGCCGACGAATTGAGAGAATGATTTTATCTTCTAATGTTTTTATCATACTCTCAGCACTGAAAGAATTAGAGGAGAAAGTGGAAAAACAAACGAACATACTGCAGTCTGTGTTTGAGGAGCTCTCATCCAGATTAACGGATATCGAGAGTAAACTCACAAAGTGGATCGACGATCAAATTGCTAGCATATCTGAGAAGACTGCGGAGTCTGCCGCCAAAATACCCTCACTCGAGGCGAGAGTAAGAAGTTTTGGGAGTAAGCTGGAATTGCTTAATAACCGGTTCGAGAGTCAACAAACGACGATCTCTCTTGCTTGCCGCAAACTGAGGGAGAAAACTTAAAAAGTGCGTTCAACCAGATTTGTCTATCGATTGATTTCTTGTTACCGAAGATAAGGGATATTTTCCGATCAAACCTAATTAATAGTGCTGCCGTCAAAGTTAAATTTCTCTCGCCGTTTGACCGTAACCTTACTCTTAGGCCTTTAGTGATTATCGCAAGAGAACCAAGCAGCCAGTTTCTCTTAGCGCAATCGGTATTGATGGACATCTTGGAATTTTTGAGAGTCTATCCGCTAGTAAGAGAAAACTTCTGCAAGAAGCGATTAAACTGAGGCGTGCAGGGAAACTGACGTCTCTATTTACATTGCGAGGTGCTGTGCATGTGCGATCGGATAAAGAACAGCCTGCAAAAAGATCGAAAATCAGACAGATTTGCAATGTTATTACGTTTGAAGCGAGCGTCGTTTAAAGTACAAAACCGCGTATCGTCATTCTGCAAAAACGCGTTACTGACTGCTCACACAAGCTCTCGGCTCAATCCTTATCCATTCGTCCTGAAATATACTAGCTAGAAATGCGATTGCTTTATAAAAAAGGGAACCATTTTGAAATATGAGTGTTTTTACGCTTAGAAAATAATTTCTACAACTTCACATACGCGGTTTTGCATTTTACTGATACGCGAATTTGCATTTTGTTGATACGCGGTTTTGCACTTTAAACGACGATATGTTATACTTATGTTATCTTATATAGCGTTTTCTTTTCTACACGAATATGTTGCCATACCGAGGTGCGAAAGTCGTTTAAAGTTGCACTTCGCCCTGTGAATTTGGCACCCTGCTTAAGGTTCAGTGTAGCCCTTCAGACTTACACAGGATCACAAACTGCAGCCCTGAAATGCAATCAGCTGTTTTCTCGAGCGCTAAACGGAGTGCAGCAAAATAGTTACAGGTAATATGAGAATGTTCTGATAGAAAAGTAAAAGCCGAAAATGCTAAACTTTTAAACAACGCTTTTTTGCAGTATGGACAGAAGGCGAAACAAGACTCTTGCTGGATAAGTACGCTTCCTTTTT